CACGTTTGCCTTTATGTGTCGTTCCCTTGTTGGTTGGATAAGCATGGTGTCACTCTCCTTCTGGATCTTCTGCAGGATCACTCAGGTGACATTGGCCTTGAAGAGCATAATGACACTGAGTTGCTGAGGTTTCTTTCCAGTTGCTTAGCAAATATTTTTTTTTTAATACAGTTTTATTTTATACAATTATACAAATCTGAAGACCTAGCTTATAAAATGTGAAAGTCCTATCATAAAAAATACTTTCATTTAGAACTTCAATAATAACTGAAAATATGTAGCCATGGATTCTATACTTTGGGACGTATTTATAAAGTAATGATGTGACATTCACAAAACATTCACTGCAAGGGAATCTTCCTGGGGTATGAGATTAATTCTACAGTGAATGATTCGCCGCAGTAAATACCATATTCACTGCTTTATAAATATGCCCCGTTTTTTCCATTGAGTGACTGCTGCTTGTGCTTCTAACCCATCACAATAAAACCGCTGCTAGAGGCATTGAGAAATTCCAGTTTATCTAGAAAAACCCTTCATCCTCCAAGGACCGCAACAAATTACTGTTTTGCCTGTAATTCTTCACGGCACGTTTGACAGCCTTTGTTGAAAGTCTACAATTCACTAACGAGTGTAATTATACTGCTAAACTATTACTTTTCTGTGCATACAAGCATGCTCTGTTATTATAGTTTGAAAGATATTTCTCCTGTCTGAAAGAAATTCCAATTTAAAGGAAATGTTCATGTTTTTACCTGGTTATAAAATTATATATTTGAATAGGATAATCCTAAAGTAAATGATTATATGACTTGATAATGGCCATAGCTTGTAACTATTTGTACAGGGCAGCTGTTCTTTTACATTAGTCTTGTCTCTTGGGAAGCCATACACATCGTAATTTTCCTCTGCTGAATGAAAGCAAATAATTTTGATTCCTCGATCCATTCCAAAGCTCCTTACACATGGGAGGAAGATCGTCTGGTTCAACAGAAACCGGCCCATGTGTATACCAGCCTGTCCGAGAGAAGCTGGCTGAGCTACCAGCTTCTATCAAACGGGTAAGCTGGAAAACCAGCATCTGATCAGCGCTGGCAGCCAATGGCTGCCAGTGCTGACTGGTGTGTTCTGGGTGGGAGGCAGTTCCCCTCTCAGAACACATTAGTTCAGCAGGGAGTACGCTGCAACATAAGATAGTACAGCAAACTCCTTCCGAGCCCGCTGGGTTGAATGAAAAAAAAAAAACACTGATGACTGTACAAGGCATTACAACATGATCTCCAGATCACCCGAACCTACTTGAATACTCAAACAGTGATTTCATCTGATAGGATGCAGTTACCCAATAATTCCACCCACATCTGTTGATTTTTAAATCGACTTTTGTCAAGAAGGGTGGTGCTTGTGTGGTCACCCACGGTTTGATTTCCCTTGGATTCAGCACACATCTATGGCCAGCTTTAGAGTGCAGCTATGTCAGCCATTGGAAGGCCAGGCAGGTGCATTGCAGAGCTCACTTATCAGTGGGTAAACAATAGAGATCACAAAGGTCTCTCAGCCTGTCTGATCGCATTGCCTGTGGTTGTGGCACAGCCAATTTACTTGTGGGCAGCACAGTGGCTAAATGGTTAGCACGTCAGCCTGGCAGTACTAGTGTCGCTGGTTCGAATCCCAACCCTGGCACCACCTGCCTGGAGTTTGCATCTTCTCCCTGTGACTGCGTGGGTTTCCTCCGGGTACTCCGGTTTCCTCCCACACTCCAAAGACATGCTTGTATGTTAATTGGCCCCTGTCTAAATTGTCCTTAGTATGTATATGTATGAATATGAGTTAGGGACCTTAGATTGTACACCCCTTGAGGGTTAGGGACTGATGTGAATGTACAATATATGTATGTAAAGCGCTGTGTAAATTGACGGAGCTATATAAGTACCTGAAATAAATAGGTGTCATGTACAACCACCTCTGGCTCCTCTATTTGATTAAGATGGGGTGGATAAAAACGTGGCTCAGCTGCCTGTTTTTACTGCTCCCCCTCACAAGTCTAAGCCAGGGTAGCCAATACACTGTTCTGAGGAATTGGTTGAAATTCTAACAGTGGGTGGCCCTGCCTGCTCAACCCCAGGAACCAAGCAAACATTTTTGGCCAAACCGTACTTGCAGCTAATCAGATGGAGTCTCTGTGTGGGTATTCTGATGGCTGGTGCTCATGGCTGTCAGCATGCAATATCCCAACAAGGGAAATTCATCCATCCACACCATTTCTGTGGTTGGAAGAGTCTGTTAGATTTATTTTAATGTCTGTTAGGGTAGGGCCAGGCATCATGTCAAACTCATTGTATTGGTGACAGGATTGGCTGATTGTGGCCTCCCTAATGCGGGGTACACACCAGCCCCAGTGGGTTGAACGAAAAAAACAAACCTTTCAGATCGCTCTACTAACTGCAATGTTAGTACAGTGATCTCCCCCCGTTGTGCTATTGAGTTCTGACAGGTGGACCCCCCACCTGGACACACTGATCAGTGCTTGCAGCCATTGGCTGCTAGCGCTGATCTGATGCTACTCCACTGCTGGTTTTCCAGCATGCCCGTTTGATAGTAGCTGGACAGGCTGCTGTACACACTGGCTGAATGTTAGCTAGTTATTATTATTATTATACAGGATTTATATAGCGCCAACAGTTTGCTCAGCACTTTACAATACAAGGGAGACAGTACAATTACAATACATTTCAGTACAGAAGGAATAGGAGGACCTTGCTCATGGAGCTTACAATCTAAAGTTTCTGTTGAACCGTCTGAGATAGGGCCAGTGTGTACCAGCCTTAAGACACACAGCTGGGAAATCCCTTGATGTTTCTGCTGTCTGACAGATTGAAAGTGAAACAGCAGTTGTTTTCAGACTGCTCCTTGTTATCAGCAGGGAAACTGATACAGCATTAAAACCAGTAAGCAGTAGAGAGAAGATATTAGGCTTTGTTCTCTGCAATCAAGCATAACAATGTTGTATTTAAAAGAAACCTGTCCTGAGACAAGTATGTAGGCTGCTTTGCTGTCCTTCCAAAAATTCAAGTTGCCTGACTCTCATACTGGTATGGCTTCAATATCTGGAGCAAGCATGCAGCAAGTGAAGTCAGAACTGATCATTTTCATACAGGCAGAGTGCTGCTGTTTTACACCTTATTTTTTTATTTGTTATATTTTTGTGGCATAACCTGTAGATAATTTAATCTCAGCATTTGTTCAGCAAAGATGTTTGTGTGCTCATCTGGCACAGAAAAATGTGATATAGGGGCTCAAGATCACTGCCAGCCACTTGTATAAGTGACGGTCTTTATTGAACTTGCCAACAGTCCAAAAAACAAAATAATTTTCTTCAGAAATGAACACACAAAATAGTCCATAACTCTGGTACAACGGAAAACGAGAGTACAGTTCACCAATACTATACAGGTCCCACACTGGGATTTGGGGTTTCCTACTGCCTTCAGGGGTCCCAAAGGGGACGTTTTCACAGTTCTGCAACTGTGGCTCAACTTAATACACCAATCTCTCTCTCTTGCGTGCGCGCGCTCTCTGTCTCTCTCTCTGTCTCTCTCTCTCTCGCTTCGCTCTCTCTCTCTCACAGCCAGGTGCCGACTTGTTCCTCTTCATTTTCTGGACTCTGAGCACCCAGGGTAACCCTTTCAGGACCAAAGTCCCTATAATCTATGTTTAGAGGTTCTTCCCTCCCAAAACTCTTCAAATCTCCAAAATTCTGGGTCCCTAATAAAGACTTGGCAATCCAGACAGTACTATCTTAATTTATTGCAGCTGAATAAGGTGGCTACATTAGGTTTCTTTTTTTTTTTTGTTTCACCTGTTGATCCTGAGAATCACACGTCCCGTATCTGTGTATGCTCACTTCTCCACTGTATCTCCTGTATCTGTGAAGGGAGCCATGTTTTCTACCCAAGCTGGACTTTAAACATGTCTGCCTCATAGAGGATGGGGTGGTTAGTGATACAAGTTTTTTCAGTTCACCTCACAGAAAGTGACAAGGACACTGCATTTCTGGCAGGATCAACGGGTATTTTCTGTACTTACTGAAAATATTCTTAGCCTGAAAAAAGAAAATGAATGCAGCCACCCCATCTAGGGACTGATAAACTGAAAATAATAGGTTATTGATCTTGGGTTAGGTTATCCTTTTAAGTTTATTTAAAGTGATATTAAAGTCTTTTTGTTTTTTGTTTTTTTACTGATATAAAACAGAGGTTATATTTACCTGCTCTGTGCAACAATATTGCAGAGAGTGGTTCCTTACCTCCTCTTTGACGGTCCCCCGCAGGCACTTTTCACTCCTCCTTCCGAGTGCACCCTTACAAAGCCGTGTGCTGTAGGGGCACCTGTGCGCACGTGATCCCAAGTTGTGCTGCGTGTGTACATAGACATGCACAGTGCCAGTAAGCCACACCCTCCTCACAGGAGTTTGACTGACAGCAGAAGGAGCCTAAGGCTTCCTCTGCTCTAAATCTCACCTGTGAGACTAGGAAGAGAGAACAGAGCTGCAGCCTGGACAGCGCTGGATCATGAGAGGCGCCAGGTAAATGTGTAGGGATGGGGGGTGGGGCTAGAACAGGTAGTTGGGTGTATATTTTTTTTTTTTTTTTAACCTTTTAATGCAGGGAATGCATTGAGGTAAAAACAAACCTTTTGCAATTAGAACTTGCTAAAGGCACCTTGTATTTTGAATATTGCCCACTTGGCTCTAATATGTGACCTCCATGTGGATTCATTGTATAATATCAGAAGATTTCCCCTTCTGTCGTGGTTAGAACAGTATGGATGTATCTGGCTCAGCCTAGTCCTATTCCATTGCAAGCTGCTGGAAGCCAGGATGACAGAGCCTGAGTCAGTCGAGGAGTCATTGACATTTGATGTGGTTGATGCTGATTCTGAGTAACGAGGAGCTTCATACAGATCAGACTCTTAATATGTGTGTTTTGCAGGGAAGAGATGGCTATCTTGTTCTCTGTTGTTGCAAGAGGAACCACCATCTTGGCCAAACATGCCTGGTGTGGGGGAAATTTCCTGGAGGTGACAGAGCAGATCCTGGCCAAGATTCCATCAGAAAACAACAAGCTGACCTACTCCCATGGAAGGTGAGGTATTTTTATATGAACTTGTAGAATACTCTGGCTGGTTAATATTATATAATGAGGGAAAGTACATGTGCAACAATCGGATTCCTTATTCGAAGAGCTCCCGTCACACATAGAATGTTCCTTAGAGCGGTGTTAAACCCAAAATCAAAAATGTAATATATTGCAGCTTACCAATCCTTCGATTGGGTGGCTGCATTAGGTTTCTTTGGCTTTTTTTTGGCTTTTTTCCTGTTTTCACCTGGTAATCTGGCCAATAGCACTCCGCTTGTATTAGAGTGCACCCATGCTGGTGAAGGAGCACAGGGGGCACAGCAGAATACCACATTGTCAGTCTGGAGGGAGGGGAGTATTGGATGTACTAGCAGATTTAAATACACTAGCAAATTGAAACCAAACTCCAGCACAATTTACAATCAGTTACAGCAAATGTTTTCTTTTGGGATAAAGGTTTTACATGAATAAATAAAACTGATCATTGTAAATGTTTTTCTCATCCCCTGTAAACTGATACATCTGGAAGAAAGCTTTTTTTTTTTTTTTTTTAAACATCAGACTTACTGGCTACATCACTAACTGAAAATAAAATAAGGCAAGCATAAAAAAGAAAACTAGTGCAGCCATCACATCTAAGAATTGGTAATCTGCAATATAATAAATGTTTGCTTTTGGGATTAATACTGCTTTAAAGCACACCCCTCAAGATGTCTTGCACATGAATCTGCTAAATATACATCTATGATAGATATCATTCTATAAATTCTGTTCAGCCAGTCTTGGGAGTCGTACACATTTGTAACACTAGTGACCACAACTTTCTGCTCATTGCACAATGAATCCTGGGAGGAGGGGTGAGTAAGGCTTCAAAGCACACAGGGTTTGATTTCCCCAAGCAGTTTGTGATCTGTTTATCCAGTGTTTCTATGAGTGCAGTGCAATAATATAGAGGTCATCATTTATGGCATTTGGCATGGTTGTACAGCTAACTGCAACTAGACTGAATATAAAGAAAGCATATTGTGTATTCATTATAATGCCTTTTACATGTTTTGAAGCAATACCTTCATCTCTCTGTTTATATATGTTTAAATTTATGATTATCTTGTGGCATAACTGTCTTTCTTTTCTCCCCTCAGTTACTGTTCCATTACATCTGTCAGGACCGAATCATTTACCTCTGCATTACAGATGATGTGAGTTATTTTTATGTTCTGCTTATAGCTATTATGTACAATGACCATTCACTACTATGCTGAATTGGTCTGTGAAGGACAAATTATTAAAGAAGAGCAGAACTGGTCAGCCAATTTTAGGAGTCAGAAGACCATATTAAAGGATAAGTTCACCTTTTGACAAAAAATAATAAATTTTTTTGCAGGTAAAAAATGTGCATTCATTATTTTTTATTTTGGGAGCCTGTAAAGCATTGCAACAGCAATCAGCAGATTGCAAAACATACAAAACAGAGAGGGCGCAAACGCCTAGTGTATTACCCTTAACATTTTATTGTACAAAACAAGTATAAAATATACTCAAAAAACATAGTGAGCTTAAAAGCATAAAAATTCATAAAGCCACATAGAGTCCGCTCTCCCACCTGGAGATAAGATTATTATTATTTTATTATTATACAGTATTTATAAATTGCCAATAGTTCGCTCAGCGTTTGTACATTACAAAGGGGGACAGAACATGTGACAGAACAATAACAATACAATGCAAAACATGAGGGATTGAGGACCCTGCTCTTTCGAGTTTACAATCTAGGAGGGAGGGGATGGTGGCACAGGAGGGGATAGCTGTGGGGGATGGAGTGGTAGGAAGAGTGGAGGAGGTCGGCAGGTTAGCAGGGGGTGGGGTAGGCTTCCCTGAAGAGATGAGTTTTTCAGGGTGCACCTAAAGGAGAGGAGAGTGGGTGATAGTCTGATGGATTGGGGTAGGGAGTTCCAGAAGATGGGTGATGCCCTGAAGAAGTCCTGGAGGTGGGCATGGGAAGGAGATCAGGGAACTAGAGAGAAGGAGGTCTTGTGAGGAGCGGAGTGTGCGTGCTGGGCGGTACTTGGATATTAGGTCAGTGATGTAGTTTGGGGCAGTATGGTAGACAGCTTTGTACGTCAGTGTTAGGATTTTGAATTTGATCCGTTGCGCAATCGGACGCCAGTAGGAGGGATTGGCAGAGGGGGGTGGCGGAAAAGAGAGCGGTTGGAAAGGTGAATGAGTCTGGCAGCCGTATTCAGGATCGACTGAAGCGGGGATAGCCAGCGGCGAGGCAGGCCAGTGAGGAGGGGAGTTCCAGTAGTCGACGTGATACGATGAGGGAGTGGATGAGCTTGGTTTCTGGATTAGGAACCGCGTATTTTGGCGAATGTTGCGGAATGGAGTCTGCACGAGTTTGTTAAAGATTGGACTTGGGGCTGGAAGCCACTTGGAGTCCAGAATGACACCAAGTACTCTGGCCTGCGGGGCAGTTTGATGGTGGTGGTTGGATGTGATGGAGAAGTCAATGGGGGGTGGTGTCCGGGCTTGGGGGAAGATGACCACAATCTTCTAACACGTTTCACTTCCTCAAAGCTATCTGGCATTTGCGCCCTCTCTTTTTTTATGTTTTGCACAGTGCTGGATTCCCCCGATCTGAGGAGGGCTGCATCATGGTTTCCCTTTCTATACCCTGGTTGTTTTAAGACTGGCCACTATGGTTCATGTGGTGGGTGCCTCTATTCACTTCTAAGCCCTTAAGTGTCAAATTTGTTTTTAGAATTTATCAGCAATCAGCAGATCACTGGTACAATGCAGGTCTCCTGCAGACCTATCAATATATCTGCTTACCCATACAATATGTACAGCAAGCAGATATACTGACAGGAAGAATTGATGAACTACCACAGCGCTCACAAGCCGACGGCAACTAAGGAACTTGTAGTTTTCTCTTTATGTTTAAAAAATTTTGAGAGCTAGCAGGAAGAGAAGATCCCCACTGGCTGTTAAAGCAGGGGTGCGTGAGTCTGTCCATTCATAACATGTTACACCTTGAATATGTGTGTAACATGTTAGGAAAGGTGAACTTATCCTGTATGTCTCACACTTTTCAAGTCCTGTATGAAATGAAGTTTAAACTCTGCCAGCTGCACAATTTCTTTGTGTTGGAGACTTCAGCTGGGTACACACAATAAAAAAAATCAGAAGAAAAATTTGACTGAAGAAGAAAAAACGACTGGCCGATTATCTGATTGTTAATATAGAGTTTTTGACAGCTGATTCCAAGTGTTCGGACGAAAAGAAGTGAAGGTGCAAGCTAGAAATTTTTTATCGTACATAAACACAACATTCTATTGTGTACAGTAACTGTACGGAAATAATTGAATAGAAAAAAAGAAGCAAAGAACGACCCGGAAAAAGGTTGCAACGAAAATAGAAATTGTACACAAGAAAGAGAATGTTTGTTGCTTTTGTGGCTTGAGAATTTTCGTACAAATTTAATACCATTGTCAGTTACATCATAAAGTGTACCTTCATGGAAAATCGGTTGATTGTTCTTCCAATTTTCTCATAGTGTGTACCCCACTTTACTGAATGGTGAAGTCAGAGAGACAGCAATGGGCCTGTTCCGAAACAGATCAAGATTGGCAGGATAGGTATTTTAGTCATGAGATGCGCCCTTTCATTCCTTAGCAATTTTCCTGGATATAGAGTATGGTAAAGAACCTGTATATAATAAGAAATACAATTTTAAAACTGCATTCGTTCCACTGGGATATTACATGCAAGTGTAACTGCAAGTTGGATGAATGGATTTCTACTTCATTTATAGTCATATACAGCAATCAGCCATAACATTAAGACCATCCATTGAGGCATGAACTCCACTAGACCTCTGAAGGTATGCTGTGGTATCTGGCACCAAGCCGTCAGTAGCAGATCCTTTAAAGTCCTGCAAGTTGTGAGGTGCTCCATGGATCGGACTTCTTTTTCCAGCACATCTCACAGATGTTTGAATGGATTGACATCTGGAGAACTTGGAGACCAAGTCAACACCTCAAACTGGTTGTTGTGTTCCTCAAACCTTTTTTGAATTCATAAGACCAGGCCACCTTCTTCCTTTGCTCCGTGGCCCAGTTCTGATGGTCACGTGCCAATTGTAGACACTTTTGGCTGTGGATGCTGCCAGTATGGGCACCCTATCCAATCGGTAGCTTCACAGGCCCATACACAACAAGCTGCAATGCACTGTATTCTGATGCTTTTTTTTATCAGAACCAGCATGAACTTTTTCAGCAATTACGATACGATAGCTCTTCTATTGGATCAAACTACACAGGCCAGCCTATACGCTGCCCACGTGCATTAGTGAGCCTTGGCCACGCATAATCCTGTTGCTGGTTCACCTGTTTTCCTTCCTTAGACCATGTTTGGTAGGTCCTGACAACTGTAGACCAGGATAATCACACAAGCTGCAGTTTTGGGGATGCTCTGACCCAGTTGTCTAGCCATTTTAATTTGGCCTTTGTCAATGTAGCTCAAATTGTTATGCTTGCCCTTTTATGTTTTCAACACACTAACTTCAGGGACAGCATGTTCACTTACTGCCTAATATATCCCACCCTTTTTTCAGATGCCATTGTAATGAGATAATCAATGTTATTCACTTTACCTGTCAGTGGTCATGTTATGGCTGGTCGCTGGATTTCACTTGTATATTTTACAGCTGATTAATTTTCCATATTTTTCTTTCTGTACATTTTCTAGCTGCTGCTGACTTGTGGTTGATAGTGTACACATGGAGATCACAGAGCTACAGTATGACAACACTGAAATGTGAAAAGCATAATAGTTTTTGTACAGTGTTTACTTTTCTGGATTCTTTATAAGGTGTATTGCTCCTGACATGGAACTTGTGTTATTTCAGGACTTTGAACGTTCCAGAGCGTTTAATTTCTTAAATGAAGTTAAGAAGAGGTTTCAGACAACTTATGGATCCAGGGCACAGACTGCACTTCCTTACGCCATGAACAGTGAATTCTCCAGCGTCCTGGCAGCACAGCTGGTAATGTCAAAGACACAGAATGAGAAATCCCAAGGCTGTTTGATTTGAAAGTTCAAATATTAGTCTGATAAAATGATATGTAAAAAAATGAGTGTTGTGTAAAGGACAGTGATTATGTACCCATATTGATCAACCAACGTTCACTAATGTCACATAAGTTAAAAATGCTTCCTGGCATTCCCCCCCCCCCCCCCCTTCCCCTCTAACTTAAGGCTAGGGGCACATTGCTGCAAGCCAATTTTGATCTTCCTTTAGTCCGATTTATGTAGTGCAAGTAGTACCGAAGCCTTTTCCAATATTCACCATGCTGATTTGCATTGAAGTGAACAGGCACCATTGAAAACCATGTTGTGACGGGCGCGGCGTCATACCCCCAGCCCTTCTCACCAACTTGTGACCGAAGGACTAGCCAATCTAAAACCGCGCTGTCACGTGCGTAAAAATGCCACGCTCAGCTGCAACCTGCACAAAGATTTTCCAGCTCACTGGACCACAATCTATCTGCCGCAGCCTAAGAGCGATTGTTACTGGGTCAGGTTAATTATGCAGTTAACCCTTCACACTGCCACCACTGCTTTTTTGTACAGAGAAGGAGGAAACTCGCCAATCTCAGCAGTAACACTATGATGTTTGAATAAGCGTCTGTATACACACTGTCACCTCAGGCAGATGTATGCAGAAGTTTAAAACACACAGTAGCGCTCTTCAGAGACAGGGAATCTTAGTTTGCATTAAAGAGCTTTAGAAACAGTTCAACACTTTTCAGAAAATAGGATTTATTACTAAAAAGGTCAAAATGGTTCAGTAAAAATATTTACAGAAAAAGATGTAGCCAAATATATATATATATATATATATATATATATATAATATATATATATATATATATATATATACAGAGAGCAATAACACAGCAGAGAGATAAAGAAAGAAGTTTAGAGAGTTAGAATACTTGCCAGAGTACTGGGTTTAAGCAGATTCAAGGGTCCTGAGGAAAAGGGTACCCCGTTTCTCCCAAAGCTGGTTCCTGATGTTAAATGGGAGATCTCTTCATCTTCCTTCCCCAGGCATAACAACCTTTTTCTAGGAACCCAGCAGGGTGTCTCCTTAAAGCAGAGAACCAGTCACCTCATTTGGGAAGGGGTGTTTAGAAGGGGAACTCAGGCTATGACCAAATCCCTCGCAGTTTATATCATGGTCAATAATCTTTCATAGGTGCATGCAGCATCCTAGCTACTGGTAGGATAATATGCAGAATGATATTCTGAGCGCCCAGACATCACATATGACATATCTGGCTATGATGGTTAAAGAGGTATCGCTTTCTGCTCTCGGGTAGGCGTAATCTAGGGGTGTAAGGTATCAGGTGGCTCGCAGTAAACTGACCAATCTGAATATATGTTTTGTGTTATTTTATGTATTTCCTACGAGAAGTTATGAAAGTGTATGAAAAAGTGGTTTCCCAAATGAGAGAGATGTTTTACTGCTATTTCGGAATGCTTTTCAAGTCCAGTGACTGACGGGTTTATAGCTTTACGATCAGCTCAAAGCAAGAGTCTGGCAGACTTCATGGAACCAGCTAATTGGGTTTATAACCATGTTTATAACCATGAAGCGTATCCAGCTGTGCCCTGTGCAGTCCTAAACTCAGCACACACACACACCCACCGGCCACTCAACAGAAAGGGAGGGCTGATTTTGGAGTGAGAATGACACAAGATGGAGGATCTTTAGCAAAATGGATGTTAGCGTCCATATTTGTACCTACAATTGCTACACATGTCCTTTCCATTGTCATGCAATTCTGTACAACTCAAGTCCCATCTGCAATCGCACTAGTACAAACGGAGCTTGGTATGACAAAAAAAACTCATCTAACTGCCAATTTTACTCACCTAAACCTGTGGTCATGTGATGCCAATGGCCCGATCCTGCTCTCTTCTGTTTTCTTCCTGTGGGGGTTCTTCTTTAGGTGTCTGTCACACCCTGGGTGACATGGACACTTCCCATTGGTTGTCTAGCAGAGGGTTATTAGGACCCAGAAGAACACTAACATCATCTCAAAGGGATGGCAGTGGGCCAGTGGTCTCCAGTGCATTTGCAGCGCTGGATTATTGGTTCCCTGCACCCGGAAATGGCAATGAGGCCCTAGATAGGGGACTTAGGTGAGTACATTTTGCTTCACCAGGTAAGCACAGTAAAGAATCTTGCAGGATTGTTAGAGGTTGGTGGAACGGATAGAAGGAAAGGGGGGGGGTCTTATATGTAGCCTGGAATAGGACTTTAACCACTTGCCGCCCGCCTGCTGTTTATAAATGGCAGGGCGGTGGCAGTCCAGGGGCGGGTTGCCGTTCATAAACGGCACCTGCCTTTTCTAGCTGTGCGCGCTCCCTGGGAGCGCGCAGCACCGCGATCCGGTGCCCGCTGTGTCCTCCGGACACAGTGAAACACCGATCGTCGGACGGGACCTCTGTACGAGGTCCCGATCATGTGATCACTGATTGGCCAATCAGTGATCACATGCAAAGTAGTAAGCAAGATGTCACTTGTGACATCATTGCTTACTACGTGTGAAATCTGTGAATGATCAAAGAGGTCACATGGTACAAGGCTATTCACAACAGCCTTGTACCATGTGACAAGCTGTGACCAATCACAGCTCACTCAGTACTTCTCAATGACTGCAAGAATGCAGACAGAGAGAAAGAGAAATTGCTTTTACATCCTATATGGGTGTAAAAACAATCCGTGTAAAAGAAAAAAAAATCATCACCCCCCACACAAGTAGTACAGTGTCACCATGGTGACACTGTACTGCTAGGGTGACAGTATGTAATAAAAATAAAAAATAATATAAAAAAATAAAATGTGTAAAAATTATAATTTTTGGTTATAAACTAATTTGGATTTTTTTTTTTTTTACTAAAAAAATAACGGAATAATTTTTGGCCAAGATTTATGATGAAATATTATTTATTTGCAAAATTTTATAAAAAAAACACTTTTTTTTCAAAATGTTTGGACTTTTTCATTTACATAGCAAAAAAAATAAAAAATCCCAGCGGTGAATAAATACCACCAAAATAAAGATTTATCTGTCTCAAAAAAAATGGTAAAAAATTCATATGGGTACAGTATTGCATGACCGCGCAATTGTCATTCAAAGTGTGATAGCACTGAAAGCTGAAAATTGCCCTGGACAGGAAGGGGGTAAAAGTGTCCGGACAGGAAGTGGTTAACATAAGTGTTTGACTTCTGTGTACCGTATTTGCCGGCGTATAAGACGACTTTTCAACCTGTGAAAATCTTTTGAAAAGTCGGGGGTCGTCTTATATGCCGGTATACGGCGAGCCGGTGTCAGGGCGGCACTTTTTCGAGGGGCGGCGCCGCCCCCCCCTCCTCCTCCAACGCACACCAAGTACAGGGGTGGGCAGAGGGGCTGCTGTACCTTACCTGGCTCCGGTCCCGGTCCCACGACGATCCGGTCCAGGAAGCGCGGCTGCTCCTTCTTTCAGTTCGGCCGCTCGATGGTCCCGCCGCCCGCTCGGCTCCGCCTCCTCACCGGTGATTGGGCGCCAGCACTGGAAAGGCACACAGGCGACCAATCACCGGCGAGTAGGCGGAGCCGAACGGCCCCGCGAAAATCAAGCGGCCGAACTGAAAGAAGGAGCAGCCGCTCCTCTCCCCCACTGACACCAACGATGGGGTACTGTTCCTCCCCCACTGACACCAACGATGGGGCACTATTCCTCCTCCCCACTGACACCAATGATGGGGCACTATTCCTCCCCCACTGACACCAATGATGGCGCACTTTTCTCCCCACTGACACCAATGATGGCGCACTTTTCTCCCCACTGATACCAATGATGGGGCACTATTCCTCCCCCACTGACACCAATGATGGGGCACTATTCCTCCCCCACTGACACCAATGATGGGGCACTATTCCTCCCCCCACTGACACCAATGATGGGGCACTATTCCTCCCCCACTGACACCAACGATGGGGCACTATTCCTCCCCCACTGACACCAATGATGGGGCACTTTTCTCCCCACTGATACCAATGATGGGGCACTAGTCCTCCTCCCCACTGACACCAATGATGGGGCACTATTCCTCCTCCCCACTGACACCAATGATGGGGCGCGTTGGAAGAGGGGTAGTCTTATACGGCGAGTATAGCTCAAACCCTATATTTTAACAGGAAAAGTAGGGGGTCGTCTTATATGCCCAGTCGTCTTATACGCCGGCAAATACGGTACATTTTTTTTATCTGTGCTGCCTTAAGCTGGCCATATATAGAGCGAATTTCATCAGGAACCGGCCAAGGTTTGAGCCATGGGTAGCCTTTTCAGCACCCACCGCCCTCTTTCCATCTGACAATGAAAGCAGCTGGTTGGAAAATTGTTGGCTGAACAGCAGCTGAATCCAGTCTGATACAGGCACATTTTGGGTATTCTGGCATTTGCAAGGGAGATTACTCCATCTGCCCTGTTTAGTGGATTGAACAAGAAAAATCTTACAGTCCATGGCCATCTTATTTGAATAAGAGTGTATTTGAAACAATATTCCTTCACTTATCGATTGCTAGCCCATCCATTACTGAAAAGGAGTTTAACTCATGCAGGAGTAGAGCAGGAAAACATCCCTGACTTCTTTTTTTTTTTTCCTGGTTCAGTTCTGTAGCTCAGCTGTGATGTATTGAGAGAGAGTTGTGCGAATACAAGTTTAAAACCAAATGTCTCCACACATATATGGTTGATAGAGAGGATAGAATGTATTTTAAAATATTATTATTTTTTTAATTGTTTCTGTGTAAATATTGCTTGATGACCATCCTTCCTATTATGTGTAAAATGTGTTCGTATTTCAGTGACGGTGTATAAAAAGCACAGTGGTGTGTCTGGATTTGATGGTAGAACAAAGGTGATATACACAGAGTAGTCTGGGCATTATGTAGAATATAGATGGGTGTGATCAGCTGTACGATATACATTTGTCTGCCTCTGCATGTAACAGTCCCCAGCAATCATGTGAGCAGCACTGAATGAACACAATCTCTATTAGCCGGTCACATGGACACATGTGATCAGTGGAGAGTGTTCACTCCAGCAGTGTAGACATCAGGTGACCACATACCAGGCGGGTTATATCTCATTTGTGTGTCATTCTTCTGTCTTAAGTATACACAACACTCAGGAAGAAAAATGTTCACTCTGCATGCACTCAGTGTAAAACAAGCCTGTTTGGTGAACCAGGGGAGGAAGGGGGGGTCACCGTGTACAGAAGACAGAAAAAAATTCCCCCGGAATCGGCCCTACCAATCAGGAAGAGGTGCTGTCTAATATGTTTCAAGACTAAGGTCTGCACACATTGTCAAATTTTCGTAGAAGCTGCAGGCCACTTCTATCATGTAGCCCTACTTTAATGAATGAGTATTGTTTCTCCCCGTGGTGCATGCACATATAAAGCTGAGACTTTGCAAAATGCAGAAGACTTCTCATTCATATAAACAAAATGCAACAAATGGAAACCAAGTTGCCAAAAATGTATAGATTTATTGAAGTATATTTTAAAGTGTATGTGTAGTCTGAGGCTAGGTTCAGATCTATGTGGTTTCCATGCAGCCGCATTTGCACTGGCATAGCAGCCAATTCATTTGAATAGGCTGCTGTACCCTGCGGGAAAAACAGGAAAAAGGTTCCCGCACCTTTTCTATAATTGAAGGTGCACAGAAACCACATGGTCCTATGTGATTCCCAGCACAGGGAAATGTGCTGCGGTTTCCAGTGCATGGGGGTGCTAACAACTGTGCGTTTTTGTTTAGGGAAAGCATGCGATTTACATGGAGTTCTGCACATATACAGTAGATGTGAACATAACGTAAACATTGTCCTTTGTTTTGCTTAGAATAGGGAAGGAATAAAACCACTGGTAGTTCTTTTTTTTCTTTGCTGATTCTGTCCTATTGGGGAGATGTAACAAGTTAGACGCTTTCTACAAAGGGAGAGGGGGAGCTCACTTTTTTTTTTTGTAGCAGGTTTGATTTTGCTTCAAGCTCAGCACACATTACAATCTGATTGCATCATTTAATTTAGAGCTACCAAGAAGTATGTAGTGCATGGACCTGTTTGTTGGATTGTTTAGGTAGACCCTCCTTATACATAGTTTTTTGTAAATCTAAAGTTGATTGTACAAACATTGTATGGTCAGACTGTAAAGATGTATGGTGAGCCTTAGAGAGCTGTCACCAGAGTAGGTGTCTGCATTAAAAGACTTGCTCTTACTTCTCATTCTGGTTAGTATTCTCTAATTATGGATTTCTAATCGCTTTCTGTCTTGGGAATCTGCCTAGCGGGGATACAGACAGCAATCAAAGCTTAACAGGGCTTTTAATTTTTCCTAACGCTAAACCAACAAATATTTTGGCTAATTATATCTTATAAAAGCAATGCAGGGTTGTGACTGAATATCAAATGTAATATACATAACAACCAATTTATTACTATAATATCGGTAGGGGGATGAGCAAACCAGAGCCTTTCCCATCTGAAAACTCCCTACCCTAATCTATCTGGCTATCTCCCACTCTGTAGGTGACCCCTGAAGACCCATCAGTTTGGGAAGCCTATCCCACATCTACCTAATAAACTATACATTTTACTTTCTTTGTCAGCTCATCCTTTTTATTTTGTTGTTTTGTATCGCTTTACTTTCTCTTATAGATTGTAAGCTCTTTGGAGCAGGTCCTTTTGATTCGTCTTGTCTTGAATTGGATTGTAACTGTACTGTCTCCCATTTTACAATGTGCTGATGCTATAAAAAAAAAAAAATCCTGTATAATTGTAACAATAGTGTGTGTGTGTGTGTGTGTGTATGTGTGTGTGTGTGTGTGTGTGTATATGTATGTGTATATATATATATGTGTATATTATATGTGTATGTGGTGTGTGTTTGTGTGTATATGTGTGTGTGTGTGTGTGTGTGTGTGTGTGTATGTGTGTGTGTGTGTATATATATATATATATATATATATATATACATACATACATACATACATATGCATGCATGCATGCATGCATGCATGCATATGCATGCATGCACACACACACACAAGCATACATGCACACACACTCCATATTCATGACGGAAATAAGTATTTGATCCCCTATCATTCAGCAGGGTTTCTGGCTACCAGGTGTCTTTCATACAGGTTACAAGCTTAGATTAAAAGCTTGCTAATCTCATTTTGTTACCTGTATAAAAGACACCTGTCCTCAGGAGCAACCAAACAATCAGATTCAAAACTCTCCACCATGGCAAAGACCAAAGAGCTGTCCAAGGATGTCAGGGACAAGATTGTAGACCTACACAAGGCTGGACTGGGCTACCAAAATATCGCCAAGCAGCTTGGTGAGAAGGTGGCAAGAGTTGGTGCAATCATTCGCAAATGGAAGAAACACAAAACAAATCTCAGTCTCCCTAGGTCTGGTGCACCATGCAAGATCTCACCTCAAGGAGTGTCATTGATCATGAGAAACAGTGAGGAATCATCCCAGAACTACACGTTAGGATCTTGTCAATGATCTCCAGGCAGCTGGGACCACAGTCACCAAGAAAACAATTGGTAACACACTACGCTGACAAGGATTGAAATCTTGCAGTGCCCGCAAGGTCCCTCTGCTCAATAAAGCACATTTCCAGGTCCGTCTGAAGTTTGCCACTGAACATCTGAATGATGCAGAGGAGGACTGGTTGAAAGTGTTGTGGTCAGATGAGACCAAAATCGAGCTCTTTGGCATCAACTCAACTCGCCGTGTTTGGAGGAGAAGGAATACTGCCTGTGACCTCAAGAACACCATCCCAACTGTCAAACATGGTAGTGGAAACATTCTGCTGTGGGGGTGTTTTTCTGCTAAGGGGACAGGACAACTGCACCACATCAAAGGGATGATGGACGGGGCAGTGTACCGTCAAATCTTGGGTGAGAACCTTCTTCCCTCAGCCAGGGCATTGAAAATGGGTTGTGGATGGGTGTTCTAGCATGACAATGACCCAAAACACACGGCCAAGGCAACAAAGGAGTGGCTCAAGAAGAAGCACATTAAGGTCCTGGAGTGGCCTAGCTAGTCTCCAGACCTTAATCAGATTAAAAATCTGTGGAGGGAGCTGAAAGTTCGAGTTGCCAAACGTCAGCCATCAAACCTTAATGACTTGGAGAGGATCTGCCAAGAGTAGTGGGCCAAAATCCCTCCTGCGATGTGTGCAAACCTGGTGGCCAACTACAGGAAAAATCTGACCTCCTGTGATTGCCAACAAGGGATTTGCCACCAAGTACTAAGTCATGTTTTGTGAAGGGGATCAAATACTTTTTCCCCTCATGAACATGCAAATCAGTGCATAATTTATTTGCATTTGTTTGCATTTATTTAGAATTTTTTGTTGCTATTCCATCTCTGTGTTACAATACACCTACCATTCTATTTTTAGCCTGATCATTTCTTTGTGAGTGGGCAAACATTCAAAATCAGCAGGGATCAAATACTTATTTCCTTCACTGTATATGTATGTGTGTGTGTATATACACACTCATCCCCAGAAATTGCTCCTTTTACGTTGTAAATTATGACAGAATCTATGTGAAGTACTGCAACCTATTGGCATCCTCTCAGAACTCTTGAACTCTGTGTTTTTTGATATTTAGGAGGGACTCATTACAGCTGTAGTGCCCAGGACTGTACAGAAGCATGGTATGTATCTCTCCTTCAGATCTGTTTCCTTACCTTCTATTTTTTTTCCATAGAAACACCACTCCGAAAACAAGAGTATCGATCGTGTGGTGGAGACACAGGCCCAGGTGGATGAACTGAAAGGAATTATGGTCCGAAATATAGGTATGTCCTTCCTGCTAAGAAACCTGTCATATGTGCCAATTTAATATCAGCACCAGAACTACAATACATTATAATTCACATTGGTGAATCAAGACAGCGGTACTGTATGAGTTACCCAGATGAATTACTGGTAGTGTGAGAGGAAGGTAAAGTCTATCTCTATCCAGTTTTATATTGAATTGGATAGCATGGGGAAGGTTTTAATGATTTTGACTTCTGGATGTCACCTTTAATGGAGAGATTTTTACTCATTATGTCTCTGTGGCACCGTAACAAGAAATTGGGGGAGTGATTGTCTCTGACTTTCAAAGGCATAAACAGCAACAGAAATGTATTGGGGAATTCAATAAGGGTGACTCCTTTAGGATTCCATCAGGTTGCAGCACTAAAAGCTTTAGGTACATGAATGTGTTGGTGCCCGTACTGAGGTAAGTGTCCATACTGGACACTCCTTCACTGTGCTCCATCCCCGTCCAAGGTGCCTGAACAAGTGTATGGCTGAAGAGTTTTTTTTACTGAGGTGGGCGTAGACTTATGAAAACTGAAACTGGTTCCTCATCAGGTTCATCTTGCTGTTGATGGACAGAATAGCAGCTGTGGATCCGCATACTGCTATACACTGTCAATTAAAAGTAAAGCAAATTTGATTGGAGGTCACTCAGTTTACAATAGACTCCCCTCACCCTGTGACAAGCCTTTTTACAAATGTGGCCATTGCCATATTTTGGTAGTGACATCACCTGCATCCCCGGTTCACATTTGTTCACATTTACAGCATCTTTTGACTAACAGCTGAATGTGACCAGGGATGCTGTATGGTGCAGGAAGCTGTCTTATACATGACCACTTCCCAGCAGACATGCCCCACTGTGATTACTGGTATACCTAGGCTGCTCTTAAGAAATGACAATTTCCTAATCTGAGAATCGGCTGTGATTCATTAAGAATCTGTTGTCATGATGACAGGTTCATAAAGTGGAGATAGTAAAAACTACCTGAATTTGTCACATGTATTGGCAACGTTATTGAAACTGTAGCAAAGCCATTGAGACATGGAAGTGAAGGGAAAGAAAAGCTGCAGACGTGCACAGCTCTGGATCGAATGAGGGCTCATTTAAGTAAAAGGGCCAAAACCGATGTCTAAACAGATTTTACCTTAATGCAAAGAATGCATTAAGGTAAAAAATATTTAGGCTTTAGAACCACTTCAAGGAAATCCAGGCCTGAAGGGGAGGAGGGCCGACCACCCAAGGAAGTTCCCGCGCCCCACACGTCTGGGGAAGGAAGGGGGGCATCTACTTTCTGATCCATTGGAGCGTTCAGGTAAGTCTCCCATGACAGGTCCTCTCCACCGAAGTGGGGGACTGTCACTGTGATACAGACTATAGGTGCCTGGTCATATGGGTCCCTGCGAGATGTTTAACTCGATGGCCGCCCAGGTCCATGATGGGGTATAGTTGTGGTTGACTGAGCGCAGAGCTAGTGGTCTGCACGCGCTGGTCAGACTGAGGTGGCCACTGGATCTAGATTATCCAGCTTGTTGAGCAGCCTGGCTGTTGATAGCAGACCTCCGCAGGAAAAACAAATTCCAGGGAAAAAAGAAAAAAAAAATATGTGGAACCACAGGTCCCAGCATAAGATCAGGTTCATACTCCTGAGACACTTGGCAAAATGACTGAATTGCTTGTAGAGAGACTGCCCATAGGTGGCGATATATTTTTTTTTTTTTTTTGCCTAGTATCCTACTCCTGTAGGTGGGGCTAAAAAACCCTGTTTGGTCATGGATAAAGCAGAGAGGCTGCGTCTGTCAATGAACTTAGAGAAAGGGATTTCATGGTGAGTCACAAAAAATTTCCGTTTTTACTTTAATGTAAGGAATACATGAAGGTAAAGTGTTTAGGCTTTAGAACCACTTTAAGAAAACTACTTCAGATATGTGTCGTTTTTAGCTTTACTGAATTCTCCCTCTATACTAAAATTTGTTTGTCCCCATTTTAGAAATTTCTTATTGCTTTATGTGCTGAATAGAAATCTCTTGAATAGGGCTTCCAATGGCAGTTAAAATCTGAGAGATGATCTTCCCCTACTTTGCATTCTCCCAAACTAAACAAAAAGTTTTGGCTGAAGTTGAGCTGTAACAAATGTAAGAGGCCACAAATGAGACTGCTCATATCCAAAGCAAGGATCTGACTGAGGAGGGGTCGGGTGGGTAATGTTAAATTTGGTGCACTAGGATTACTTGGTGCGTATTTGTAGTTTTAATGGCATATTGACCATTTCATTTGGAGGGTCAGAGGTTTAGATTTATACCACCATGTTCATCATGTCAGCTGAATGGTGTGCACTGGTAACTATCCTGGCAGCCCCTAGCTTAGGTCCCTTGTCTGACAAAATCAGAACAGGCTGCATTTGTGTAAGGTGCTGTAAAGAATGCAGTGCATAAAAATAACACACTGCAGCACACCGCGTGTTACAACCCACACCAACATGCATGTACAGTATATGTTTCAAGAACAAGCCCTCTTTTTGTTGCATTTCTTTATTTGGAACAAAACCCTTCTTTATTGTAACTTGTTTACATGTTGCTTATTTACAGATCTTGTGGCGCAAAGAGGAGAGCGGTTAGAGTTATTAATAGATAAAACGGAGAACCTTGTTGACTCTGTAAGTGTACAGACATTTTTATGACCGCATTATAATAGATCAGGGTTTCATTATTAGGCTCCATGCACACTAGCGTTTTTTTTTAAGATAAAAAATGCTGGATAAAAACCGCTCGTAATAGCATTTTTTAGTAGCATTCAGAAGCGTTGTAGGAGCGTTAGCATTTTTACAGTACATGTAGATAAAAAAAAAAGCTGTTAGGACCATTTTAGTAGCTCTTAGGAGCGTTTTAGCTTTTTTTTTTTTTTTTTTTTTTTTTCTTCTTGAAGAATGCTCCAAGAAGCTCGAAAACAATTGTTTTTCTGTTCATAGCCACTGAAGCTCAAAAAATGCTAATAGCCTAAATAGACACATAGGATATAACTATTTCGCTTCTAGGAGCTTAAAAAATGCTAGTGTGCAATGCAGCCTTAAAGGAGGATACTCTAGACAATATACAGTGGGGATCGAAAGTTTGGGCACCCCAGCTAAAAATTTGTATTAATGTGCATAAAGAAGCCAAGGAAAGATGGAAAAATCTCCAAAAGGCATCAAATTACAGATTAGACATTCTTATAATATGTCAACAAAAGTTAGATTTTATTTCCATCATTTACACTTTCAAAATAACAGAAAACAAAAAAATGGCGTCTGCAAAAGTTTGGGCACCCTGCAGAATTTATAGCATGTACTGCCCCCTTTGCCAAGCTGAGACCTGCCAGTGTCATGGATTGTTCTCAATCATCGTCTGGGAAGACCAGGTGATGTCAATCTCAAAGGTTTTAAATGCCCAGACTCATCTGACCTTGCCCCAACAATCAACACCATGGGTTCTTCTAAGCAGTTGTCTAGAAAACTGAAACTGAAAATAGTTGACGCTCACAAAGCTGGAGAAGGCTATAAGAAGATAGCAAAGCGTTTTCAGATGTCAATATCCTCTGTTCGGAATGTAATTAAGAAATGGCAGTCATCAGGAACAGTGGAAGTTAAAGCAACATCTGGAAGACCAAGAAAAATATCAGACAGAACAGCTCGCAGGATTGTGAGAAAAACAATTCAAAACCCACGTTTGACTGCACGATCCCTCCAGAAAGATCTGGCAGACACTGGAGTTGTGGTACACTATTCCACTATAAAAAGATACTTGTACAAATATGGTCTTCATGGAAGAGTCATCAGAAGAAAACCTCTTCTACGTCCTCACCACAAAAATCATCGTTTGAACTTTGCAAATGAACATATAGACAAGCCTGATGCATTTTGGAAACAAGTTCTGTGGACCGATGAGGTTAAAATTGAACTTTTTGGCTGGAATGAGCACAGGTACGTTTGGAGAAGAAGGGGCACAGAATTTAATGAAAAGAACCTCTGTCCAACTGTTAAGCATGGGGTTGGATCAATCATGCTTTGGGGTTGTGTTGCAGCCAGTGGCACAGGGAACATCTCACGAGTAGAAGGAAAAATGGATTCAATAAAATTTCAGCAAATTTTGGATGGTAACTTGATGCCATCTGTGAAAAAGCTGAAGTTAAAGAGAGGATGGCTTCTACAAATGGATAATGATCCTAAACACACCTCGAAATCCATGGGGGATTACATGAAGAGGCGTAAACTGAAGGTTTTGCCATGGCCTTCACAATCTCCTGACCTCAACATAATTGAAAATCTATGGATAGACCTTAAAAGAGCAGTGCGTGACAGACAGCCCAGAAATCTCAAAGAACTGGAAGACTTTTGTAAGGAAGAATGGGCAAAGATACCTCAAACAAGAATTGAAAGACTCTTGGCTGGCTACAAAAAGCGTTTACAAGCTGTGATACTTGCCAAAGGGGGCAGTACAAGATATTAACTCTGCAGGGTGCCCAAACGTTTGCAGACGCCATTTTTTTTGTTTTCTGTTATTTTGAAAGTGTAAATGATGGAAAAAAAATCTAACTTTTGTTGACATATTATAAGAATGTCTAATCTGTAATTTGATGCCTTTTGGAGATTTTTCCATCTTTCCTTGGCTTCTTTATGCACATTAATACAAAGTTTTAGCTGGGGTGCCCAAACTTTCGATCCCCACTGTATATGTTTTTAGCCTGGTGTGTTTTTTTTTTTTTTTTTTTTTTCCATATCAAATCTTTATTTTACAAATAAACATTAAATACATGGTGCACCTATTTCAAGGATCAGAAGCTGTAAAGTGTTACTAAGCCCAGGACCCTGCATTCACTATAGCTGGTCTCCCACAGTACACAGAACATGGAAATGTAATTATTTTAGTAAACATAAACTGCTAAATACCTGTTCTCATCAGCAGTTAGCGTAGTCTTGCAACTTCTATCAGTTGCCAGCAGAGCTCATTTTAAAGCTTGTAGGAGGAGTTTTCATTTTGCTCTAGGAGGATGCAAAACCCCTAATTTCTGTCTGGACAGTACTGATTGGCCTGTGCTGATCACATGCACTCTCCCAAGAAAAAGAAGAAAAAAAAACCCCTCTCCAGCAATACACACCAAACTGAGCATGTGCAGCGTGACTTCACACGATATGTCTTATCGGGAGATAAGAGGGGGACACTGGAAGAAGGGGAGGATAAGAGAAGTCAGGATCAAACAGCCTTTTTACACAATGCAACAAATTAACCACTTAGGTTTCACAGTGAGTATAACAAGCATGCTTTACTGCATATACAGACTGATTTTACTGTTGTGGGTTTAGTAACACTTTAACTTTCATACTCTCTCTGTCTGAAACACCATACTGTCCTCTCTAAACAGAGCAGTCAGGGACGGGTGGGGGATAAGTCTCTCCTGATTTGTTCAGCTGTGTGTGTAATTTGTGTCAACAGCAGGATTCTTTGATAAGAGAGCCTACTTAAAAGCATATGAAGCTGACTTTGGCTCATTTTTGGAAAACGTAACAAAATGCTTCTGTTTTGTAATTGATACATTCTATTTCTCTAGTCTGTCACCTTTAAGACCACAAGCAGAAACCTGGCCCGGGCTATGTGCATGAAGAATTTGAAGTTAACCATCATTATTGTTATTGTAACAATAGTAAGTATTCTTCTAGCCCATTTTGGTTGGCTGTTTAACCTCTTGCCCTCCTGAGGATTTACCCCCCTTAATGACCAGGCCTCTTTTTGCTATTCGGCGCTGCACTAATTCAACTGATAATTGCGCGGTCATGCAATGCTGCACCAAAATGAAATTTACGTCCTTTTTTCACACAAATAGAGCTTTCTTTCGGTGGTATTTGATCACCTGTGCGCTTTTTATTTTTCACGCTATAAACAAAAAAAGATCAAAAATATTGAAGAAAAACGATATTTTTTAATTTCAGTTATAAAAAATATATAGTAAACTCAAAGTTGGTTATAAATTTAGGCCAAAATGTATTCTGCTACATGTTTTTGGTAAAAAAAATCCCAATCGGTGTATATTGATTGCTTTGTGTGAAAGTTATAGCGTCTACAAACTATGGTATAGATCAGGGGTGGGCAAACTTTTTGACTTGAGGGCCGCAATGGGTTCATATATTGGACCCGGGGGCCGGACCAAGAGTACATGAATGATGTGTATGTGTCATCCATAGTAAGTATAGTAATATTCCCCCATAGTAAGCATAGTAATTAATCCCCCATATAGTAATTCATCCCCATATAGTAATTCATCCCCCATATAGTAATTCATCCCCCATAGTAATTCATCCCCCATAGTAATTCATCCCCCATATAGTAATTCATCCCCCATAGGGTAATTCATCCCCCATATAGTAATTCATCCCCCATATAGTAATTCATCCCCCATAGTAATTCATCCCCCATAGTAATTCATCCCCCATAGTAATTCATCCCCCATAGTAATTCATCCCCCATATAGTAATTCATCCCCCATATAGTAATTCATCCCCCATATAGTAATTCATCCCCCATAGTAATTCATCCCCCATATAGTAATTCATTCCCCATATTAATTCATCCCCCCTATAGCAATTCATTCCCCATATTAAGTCCCCAAGTCCCCTCTGTATCAATTCACTTACCTTTGCTCCGCGCGTTCCTCTCGCCGTGCTCCCGCGCCTTTCCGATGTAGCATGAAAATGTGTCTCCTATGAGGATCTGTCCCCCTCGACGTATCTGCGCATGTGCCAGTTTCAGGCATTAGCAGCCGATCGGCGATCTCCGGCACATGCGCAGATACGTCGAGGGGGACAGATCCTCATAGGAGACACATTTTCATGCTACACCGGTCTTCAGGGCGGAATGTGAGAGGAGCGTTCTCCGCGGGCCGGATTAAAAGGTCCGCCGGGCCGTAGTTTGCCCATTGCTGGTATAGATACTGCAATTTCCACCATTTTTTTGCTATACAGCGCTGCGCTAATTTACCGGACAATTGCGCAGTCATGCAATACGGTACATAAATTTACATCCTTTTTTTCCCACAAATTGAGCTTTCTTTCGGTGGTATTTTACCGCCTATGCGTTTTTATTTTTTGCGCTATAAAAAAAAGGCTGACAATTTTGAGGAAAAAAACAATATTTTGGACTTTTTGCTATAAAACATGTTCAGTAAAAAAAATGTAAAAAATCAAATTTAGTCCTAAATTTCTGTCCAAATGTATTCTGCGACATCTTTGCTAAAAAAAAAAAAAAAACACCCAATACGTGTAAATTTAATTGGTTTACGTGAAAGTTATAGCGTTTACAAATGGCGGGAAGGATACTGGGATTTTAATTTTTTTTTTTTATACTAATAATGGCGGCGATCAGCGACTTATGGCAGGACTGTGGGACTGCGGCGGACATTCTGACACTGGGGGGGGGGGGGGGGGGGACTGACTTGGGGGTCACTGACATCCCCAGTGGGGAGGAAGGGGTTAACGTTATTTACTGAAAGGGTTAACTGTGTGAGGGGAGTGTTTTACTAGGGGGCGGGGATGTGTACTGCACGGAATACCGCTGATCCGGAGAGATAAACTCTTCTCTCCGGATCAGCATGTCAGGAGCTGACTGGACTGACAGCACGGCTGCAGTCCTCTCTGTCAGTGATTGCTGCTAATCACCGGGACATGGTAGGTAATGACTGTCCGTGACCGGGCAACTGACACCCACGGCCGCGATCGGCGGGACGGGTAGGGCGGGCACGCACCTCGCGCGTGCGTCCCCTACCTGTTTTGCACATGCACGTTTTAAAACGTGGTTTTGCCCAGCCGTGCTGACCTGCCACCGTATTTCTACAGTGGCTGGTCGGCAAGAAGTTAAAGTGACAATGTCTGGATAAAAAGTAACAAAGCTGGACCTGCAAATGAAGAGGCTTTATAGTTAACTGTCCTGCGGTCTGTTCCTCAGACCTTCACTCTCTTGCAGAGCAAAGGCCTCCCACTTAGAGCACACCGTTTGGGTGTGCTGAATGCCTGCGCCCCCGTGTACTCTGTGATTGCTTCCTATACAGAACTTAGACTGCATGAAAAGCTTTGAATAGATTAGGGAATAGCTAATATCCCTTTCAGGTTTTTTTTTTTTTTTTTTTTTCTTTCCCTGATGGGAAGTAAGAGGAGAGGGGATATCTTCTCTTAGACCTTGTCCCCAGAAAATGTTTCCCCACTGGAAGTTTCCCCTTCACCTATTATACCTGAGACAACTCCAAAATATTGTTTTTACATTGCTTTTGGTACCAGAGACAATGGTCACCAGGACCAAAGGAAAGATGGTGAGTCTCCCCAGCAAGGACACAGACCGCGATAAAAACCTGACAGAAGGTCTAACCATTCCCCATTCATATTTTTGCTTTTCATACATGTCAAATGAAACTTATAAAGAAATAAATATGCAGGTTGCAATGCCAGAATATATATGGCTTGTGACAGGGTCTCTTTGATCAAGATGTGTGGCTCTAGACACCAGTTTATATTTTGGGTGGACAGGAAACATGAGTTTAAAATGGCATCACTGAAGATCTCTGGGAAAGGAGAAGCCCTTTTGTTAGTTGGCTTGTATCAATTCTTGATACAGATGAGGGTAAGGGGACGTAAAATGATAAGCAACAATCTTTTATTCACAGTTAACATATTTAATCGTGAAATAGTGATGAACTTTGAGCTCAGTCTGAACCTTGAAGTAAGATGTCATTGCTGAGCCAATCAGTTGTGGTTGGGACAGTCCCAACTCCTCAACTGCACAAAGGGGCAGGGATGCTTGTGACATTATTATCCTAGCCACATCACTATATTTTGGTCAATGATGTCACAAGCATCCACACCGTTTTGTGTACATGCAGTCACAGGGAATGTCCTGGCCCATGCAATGACATCTTACCTCTGGGTTCGGGCCAAACCCAAGCTCATCACTTAAGCCTAAATCTCATTTGACGGTGGACAATGTCTTAAGGTGATTTCTGCTTTATGTTGCGGTCCAGGTTGTTATCTATATCATCGTGTCGGCAGCTTGCGGAGGGCTGACGTGGCCCAGCTGTGTGAATAAGTAACTCCTCTGTCTTCCGATGCATGAACGTGTTCTCCAGGAACCGGAAAGTAAAGTACTACCTATTCACACGTGTAGAATCCCGCCTGAAAAGAGACTTGATGGAAAAGCCTTTTCCCTCGACACTGTGAGGTGTCCGATATTCTCCTTAATCGTCTCATCCTTCCATTCTTACAGGACATTGTAGCTCTATGCCTTATATAATGTGTCAGAGGAAACTTGGACAGGCGTTTCATGCTGTATATCCTAAAACCTGAAGGAAATGGAGCATGGTAACTTGATTGTGTGTTTTTGTTTTGTTTTTTTTAATACATTTTTCCCCCCCCCCCCCCCTCACAGCCCCTTTCTCTAACCCTCAATATCCCTTCATCTGTTTTTCACAGGTTACTGTTTCTTTTTTTTTAAAACCTGTCCAGCAGCACATTCTTGCCCCTGCTGGTGATGCCAAACTTGACATTAAGTCAAAGCCATTGGGAACTTGCGATCATTCACCCGTCCTTGCGTGCGTCTTACACAAAATGTATTTCAGAATACTCCGGCCGATGTTGATTTTTTTTTTTTTGTCCACTAAAGCTCACTAGTATTGTGAATGTTGATCTTTTCTGGTGATGTGTTGTTTTTTCTTTTTTTTCTCTAAAGCATCACTTGGTTGATCGGGTGGCCATTTTGAATGGCCTCAGATATGCCAGGTGTGTTTTGCCTGATTGTTCTGTTGACATGTCAGTGGGTAAAACACTCACAGAGAATGATATATAGGTATTGCTTCATAAACAAAACTGTATCTAGCTTTGACAGAGGGTTGCCAGTCCATATAGAAGTGGCAGGACACACAACTTGCTTCAAAATGTTTTTTGTAATTGATTGAAACATATTTGGCCATTTTGTTTTCCTCTTAAACAAATGTATTTTCTTGTTTTGCAGCAAATGCAAACCCCTCCCCTTCCCCACTTTTTTCCATTTTAAATGTGTTTCGCATTAAAAAAAATAATAATCTGACATCCTAGTAAGCTCAGGGTGCTCCAACCTCGAGTGGCTTCCTATGATTAATAGAAGCTCAAAAGCTGGTCATACTGCTTGCAGATTGATTGGGTGTATGATTTTCTTTACTACTAGGGCCTGTCTGATTTGATTTAAATTTCTGAAGTTTTAAATAGTAATTTACTTGACATAGCTATTGCTAAACCTAAGGGAGATTGCTCAATCAGACTGTGTGTGGTCAGCTTTACTGTATTCGAGTACCATCTGCAGACAAACTGTTTTTGCAGATTACCCTTACAGGTACTCTGTGAGTGGCATTACTTCAGTACAAATGCATGCTATTGCAATTATAGCTTGAAGAATTAAAGTGGTTGTAAAGGCAGGTTTTTGTTTGTTTGTTTTTTTTTACCTCCCCCCTCCCTAATAGTCACTTGAGCCCTCTCTCGATCTAGCAATGTGCGTGAGAGTCTTGGGACTCCCTCCGCATGAGCTGAGACAGCATGCTGACCCACTGCTGTCCCAGCCATTTACAGCCGAAGAGAGCAGGGGGCTAGGCCAAACTATGGCTCTTAGTGTCTAAGGTGGTGGTGTACGCCAGCAGGGAACCTAAGAAGATCGGGGCTACTCTGTGCAAAACCATTACTCGTAGCAGGTGAGTTTGACATTTTTTTTTTTAAAAGCTGAACCTTTAGTACCGCTTTAAAAGTTCCTTACAAGGGGGCCTGTGAAATGTAGGGTGCCTCTTTCAGTCAATATATGGTAATGGCAGAATCATTCAAAGGTATTTTTTTTTTATGGATGTGTTGTCATGATTGCTGTAGCACACTTGATTGATCTCTCCTTTTCCCTACCCATTGGCTGTATTCGATAAGGAAGCCAAATCACACAACCAGGAAATGCTCCAGAGGTGAACTTGAAATGGCTGTCAGGGTTCAAGCTTGGCAGTATGAAACCCCACCAGCCAATTTTGTTTTTTAAAGTTCTTTTTGTGAGGCAGACTGGTCATTGAGTATAGAGGTACCTGCAAAGGTCATGAATATAAACATTACATTTATTGTAGTGCTTTGATAAATGTAATTCTTACATACCGGTATACAGATTTCAAAATCCTATTTAATTCTTAGACATGGGACAATTTGTCAGAGGCTCAATAAATCCAACAGACATTCTGCTCAGAATTCTTAAAGAGGACTTCGATCATTTCCTGTCGTGGGTTTTTTTAATACCTTCTCTTTTTAGGCTGCCAATTGGGGAGGAGTTTAAAGTATAGTATTTGAGTGAAGGCTTGCCTTAAGTTAAACTTATATGGGGGTTAACATTTTCAGCTTGTTGTAGTGTCATTCTCTGGAGACACTAATGCACCTTAAAACTGTACAAACGATATTTTTAAAAAAAGGCAACGTAAACTTACTATCATGATGATAATAAAGAACAGATGCAGACAGAATCTAGTCATTTGAAGCAAAAAAAAAAAACTTTCTCGGCCTTAAAAATTTGCCCATTTTATGGTCATCCTTGTATACTTCTGTTTTGGTCCTTTTTTAGCCATGCACATTTTTATGGTAAACTTCCAAATGGCACCTTGCTTGCTGAAGCCTGTGGGATGTATTTTTCTGTTGCACCCTGTGTGTGTGTCCTTTGAACAATGGTAGAGCTGTTATGATAAGGACTAAAAGACTTTTTGAGAATTGCACTTGGAATGTGATTGTTATATAGTGTTCCTATTCAGTGTGTTGGCATTTGTTTAATGAACCCTTTTTTTCCCACCATACATTTTCTTAACATAACGAGATCATTTTTGCTTTACGTATGTACTGTTTTTATTTTTTAATCTGATGTGTTAAGACTGCTGAAAATAAAGAAAATCCATAGCATTTTTAGAAGAATTGATTCTTTTTATTCCACCCCTATTCTATTTGTCTTTCCATGCACAAGGTACAGTCAGACTAAAAATTGTGTCAAAACTAGGGGCCATGTTACCCTGTTGCAGGTGGCAACTCACTAGCGTTTGGCTCACTAAAGATCAGAGAATGCTCAACTTCTACAGGGGCACGCCATACTATTGTTACTCAGTCGCTGCTGCCTGACTGCTGACAGATTCTGCAGTTTTGATTAGTAACAGCAAAGCTGTTCTCTTTAAATATGGTGTTGCTGCGGATAGTATTACTAATTTCACATGCACTGGTACTTGATAAACTGTAGCAGTATCTTCACTGAAGGCGTCATATATGTAATCAAAGATTATGTCTGAAACACAGATAGTGAACATTTCCTAAAAGAAATTGAAGGCTGCCATGGCCAAGCATCTTCTGAAATTGAATCATGATTTTTGCTTGCCCATCTGATGTCAGCACTAACAAGGAGGTAACTTGCAAACCTGTCACTAACTTAAAATTGATGGAACTGCATAACAGCAAGGTAAGTAGCATTCTCAGAAGCTGCACTGGCAGCCCACATTTTCATTCAGTACAGATTTCTTTTAACAAAAGCATTGGCTGCTGACTGATGCCAAATGAAGGATCTCTGCTGCTGGCTAATTTATTCTGACATGCACAGCACCTGGCTGTCTCCATACCCGATTAGATACAGTTACCTTTAAAATGACTTGTCAAGCCAGGTGGTGCAAATACAGCCAATCAGTTTGACATTTAGGCAGATTCAGCTGGAATTGGTGTACATTAGAGCAGTCTTTCAACCAGGGTGCATTCTGGGTTGCTTTGGCAAAATGCCTAAACCTTTCCCCAAAATTCGACAAGCTGGTGGGGATACTTGCAACTCCCTTTCTTTGTAGGCAAAGTAGTGTGGCCACCAAAAATAATCAGCTGAAAATAGGGTTGTTAGCATTTTGCCAATAGCGGGGAAAAAAAAAAACAAAAACCAACAAGCCAAGGATAATACCTAATCCAATGCCTAATGGAAACATTACAGGTCATATGGGCCCCAATGGTAAACACTGAGGGTTACTCATTTAGATCCTATCAGATCAGGGATGTCAAACTGGTGGTCCCCCAGCTGTTGCAAAACTAAAAGTCCCATTATGCCTCTACCTTTTGGGAGTCATGCTTGTAATAGTCAATCTTGCAATGCCTCATGGGACTTGTAGTTTGACACCTGTGTACTAGATAGTCCAAGATAATAAGAAGTTAAATCTTGATTAAAGAGTCTGAATTTTAAAAGTTTCTACTTTTTTTTTCTAGTGTTTTTTAGCTAATGGACCTCTTCTCCTTTTAGGAGAGAGTGTAATGAGTAAGCAAAGTTATACAAGCATGCACTAGGGGAGGCCCTAGCAAAGTTCTTTGTCAGTGTCCATTCATCTGAAGGCAGCATGCATATAACCCATCTTATATGATTACAGATCATACAATTTTTGCTGTGTCCCCATTTGGGAGGCCCAGAGAGACATTGAGAAGCTACTGAATGTGGTATGTACAGTTAGGCCCAAACTGCCTTAGTAGCTATTTCTTGCACAGATAAGGAAATACATATACCAATCAATGGGATGCAGCTCTTCAAATGTGAACATACAATGCTAAAATCAGGATGGGGATATGATCAACATGTATAAATACATCAGTGGTTCATATAGTGAACTCGATATAGAGTTATTCACCCTGAGGTCATCACAGAGGACAAGGGGGCACTCTTTACATCTGGAGGGAAAGAAATTTAATTTATTCTCCAAACACGGAAAGGTTTCTTCACAGTGAGAGCTGTGAAAATGTGGAATAGACTCCCTCAAGAGTTGGTTCTGGCCAGCTCAGTGGATTGCTTTAAAAAAGGCCTGGATTATGTCTTAGACATTTAGGGGTTTATTTACTAAAGCTGGAGAGTCCAAAATCAGACTCCCTTCTGCATAGAAACCAATCAGCTTCTAACCTCAGCTTGTTCAATGAAGCTTTGGCAATGAAACCTGGAAGCTGATTGGTTTCTATGCAGAAGGGAGTCTGATTTTGCACTCTCCAGCTTTAGTAAATAAACCCCTTAGAGTCCGGTCCATAAATATTGGGACATCGACACAATTCTTTCCCTGGTGAAGAAAACACCCTTCACAACAGTTGGCCAGATCAAGAACACTCTCCAGGAGGTAGGTGTATGTGTGTCAAAGTCAACAATCAAGAAGACTTCACCAGAGTGAATACAGAGGGTTCACCACAAGATGTAAACCATTGGTGAGCCTCAAAAACAGGAAGGCCAGATTAGAGTTTGCCAAACGACATCTAAAAAAGCCTTCACAGTTCTGGAACAACATCCTATGGGACAGATGAGACCAAGATCAACTTGTACCAGAGTGATGGGAAGAGAAGAGTATGGATAAGGAAAGGAACTCCTCATGATCCTAAGCATACCACCTCATCAGCGAAGCGTGGTGGTAGTGTCATGGCGTGGGCATGTATGGCTGCCAATGGAACTGGTTCTCTTGTATTTATTGATGATGTGACTGCTGACAAAAGCAGGATGAATTCTGAAGTGTTTTGGGCAATATCTGCTCATATTCAGCCAAATGCTTCAGAACTCATGGACGCCACTTCACAGTGCAGATGGACAATGGCCCAAAGCATACTGCAAAAGCAATCAAAGAGTTTTTTAAGGGAAAGAAGTGGAATGTTATGCAATGGCCAAGTCAATCACCTGACCTGAATCCGATTGAGCATGCATTTCACTTGCTGAAGACAAAACTGAAGGGAAAATGCCCCAAGAACAAGCAGGAACTGAAGACAGTTGCAGTAGAGGCCTGGCAGAGCATCACCAGGGATGAAAACCAGCGTCTGGTGATGTCTATGCGTTCCAGACTTCAGGCTGTAATTGACTGCAAAGGATTTGCAACCAAGTATTAAAAAGTGAAAGTTTGATTTATGATTATTCTTCTGTCCCATTACTTTTGGTCCCTTAACAAGTGGGAGGCACATATGCAAACTATTGTAATTCCTACACCGTTCACCTGATTTGGATGTAAATACCCTCAAATTAAAGCTGACAGTCTGCAGTTAAAAGCACATCTTGTTCATTTAATTTCAAATCCATTGTGGTGGTGTATAGAGCCAAAATGTTAGAATTGTGTCAATGTCCCATTATTTATGGACCCGACTGTATAGGTTAAGTTGATCCAGGGAATATCCAATTGCCTCTCGGGGGATCAGGAAGGAATTTTAGTCCCAGCAGGAGCAAATTGGATCATGTTTTGCTGGGGGTTTTTTTTGCCTTCCTCCAGATTAACTGTGGGTATAGGATAACTTTTTTTTTTCTATGGTTGAACTGGGTGGGCTTTTGTCTTTTTTCAGCCAGACTATGTAACTATGAATGTGAGCACATTGAGGGGAGGTTTACTAAAACTGGTACACACAGAATCTGGTGCAGCTGTGCCTAGTAACAAATCAGCTTGTAGGATTTACTGTCAAAGCTTAATTGAACAAGCTGAAGTTGAAAGTGGTTACTATGCACAGCTGCACCAGTTTTAGTAAATCTCCAATATGTTTTCAGACAGGTATTATGTTAGAGCACACTTGGCCTAATCGTCACTACACCCATTCTTAGATCTCCCCTCCCCCCAGCACAATTCTGAAATGCATGCAAAGACCTAACAAATTGTGTGCATTTTATTACAGGACAATAGAGTAGCGTGAAGAGTTTAAGTTATATTCCATCTGGATGCAACAGCACTTGAAAGTTTTTAGCGATACAAATCATTTAGTGATACAAATCATTTGGTAGTAGAGAAAGTATAAAATCACCAGACAAAAGATTACTTTTTTTTTCTGTTTTATTTACCAAGAAGAGGTCAAGCAGGATAATCAAAGGAGACGCTCCACAAAAACATGGTCTCTTCTACACAGAGCAACTACTCAACGTCATATAACCACACAAATATTGTGCACCATCGTCATTTGTGAGTTCATCTAAACCGTTCCAACCGGTAGGGGAATTCTTTTGCAGTCCTTGAAGTGATCTCTAAATATGGAACATAATAAATCTATGTATGTACACATATATTCACACATCTTTTCGGAATTCATCAAGGACATTTAAAACTTGCAGATGAAGAAAAAACAAAAAAACCTTGCAAAATAGAAAATAGAAAAAAACAGGCTGATGAAATGGACTCCAATCAGTAGATCAAGTAACAAAAAAACTATAGATATATATTAAAAACTTTAGGACCAACTACATTACATATATCAATTTCTAACATATTTCACATAATCAGCTGACTTAAAGTGTATCGGCTTGCAAGCAACAGTGCAGCCATTTTGTGCTCTGATCCAACCATCAGTAAAATAAATAAGAAATGCCATAAGATTTCCTGGGGTACCTCTGTGCTCTGAAGTTGTGTTTGTGCAGTGTTCCATATACCGCAAGGTGAACAGACTGGTTGGCATAAACGAGTCCTTTGTATTGAATGAATACTGCCAATGTAGCCAATACAGTAAAAGATACTTGTGCGAAGGATGAATGGGGGCTGCCCTCTTGAAAATGTTAGCTTCCTGGCTGTCAAACTGAATTAGGATCTCCCATAGTATAGAGCCACTGCCCAGGAACGAGAATATAGATCAGAAGGTCCCAATCTGCATTCATGGACTGGTCTAGTACTAGATGTATTGAAGACAGCCAAGCATCTAACCTCATCAGAATGAGGTATACTTGCCTCCAGCCACATTTCCTTTAAAAACGACGTAAATAAGTACTCTGTTTTTAACATACTAAAAACAAAGGATGGAGGGTTACATGAAGAAATGCTGCATTCCTCCACCCTGGTGTATACAGTATGTCTGTAGCCAGCACAGCAAGAGCTGAATAGATAACAGAAGGAAAACACATTTCCCTGTTGTCTAATACTGGCTTCCAATGCTTTGTTCTGAGAAATGTGAGCGCCAAACATAATGCAGATCCATAGGCTAAGAAAATGGATGGAATGCCATGATGTGATTCATACTAGGAGATCGGAAGGCTATACCATACTTTAGTTTAGAGATGATTAGGTGGTTGGTTAGAGCAAAAAAGGCCTTCTTCAAAGCAAACGCTTATCAAAAGCATCTGTATATTCCATGGTTTCCTTTTTGCTTACTTAAAACTTAATTTTAATAAAAACTTTAATCTGCTTATTTTATTGCCCCCCATCAACATAATAATGGAACTATTCTGTTTTCATTACATACCTTGTTTTAGACTCGGTGAAATGCTCACTGGGTCTCTTTGTATAGCCTAGCTACATGGAGATGCAGATCGACCATAGCTGATGAGAGGGATAGCAAAATGCTGTACATAGCCTCCTGAAAATCGTAAGCTGTGCAAATGTCCACATGATGCTGAGCCTTCATGACTGAAAGAACTGCAGTCCAATGAATGACGGGCAGTATGGTTGAGGAGGATAGAGCTAGATCATGCTGGACTACCTCCAGCCAGGAAATGAGGCAGGATCTATAGTATTCTGCAGCTTTAATGCACATGGTGATAAGCTCAAAATGTGCAGCAAAAACACAGTAATTATTTTAATACAGGAAAGAGGCCTGCACATTGTGCAAGACAGAAGGCAAGGCTGAAGTTCACCTTGAACCTATGAAAATAGAAGAATGGGGTCTAAAAATGCAGCTACTGCAGTGTGCATCTTTCAAAAGAATATAACTTTAATTAAAAAAAAAAAAAATTAGAAATCATCTATGCATAGGGTCACAGTCATTAAAAAGTTCTGATTTGTTAATTTTTCGGTGCAGCAACCAAACAAGTACATTTTTGCTTAGGACAGACGAGTACAAAAACCAAACATCTGCCCCGTGATCTGAATTAAACAGCCATCACATAAAAGGGGCCCACAGTACAAGCCAGCAATCTCCTGAGGCACAAAAGGCAGTGGTTCCTTAAACTGGCCATACACCACTCAAAATTTGAATGTTGTTGAGTCAGGTGGTGATGACAGCGCCTCCCAAACTGAATGTGCTGGGTGGAAAGCTGCTTGTTGAACAGTGATCGAATACCATAACAATGACTGCATCTGATGGGATGCAGACAGCTGCAGGTGCTGAGGCTGTCTGAATATAATAGCCAAGGAGATTCCCCCATCCACACGGTTTAGCATGAATGTGGGAATCAAGTGATTTCCTTGTTCAGCCTGCAGGGCCTAATGAGTGAATAATGCCTGAGGCTAGCCATACATGTTAAGATTTCTCTGAAGTTTAACTAGTCACTTTTAGACTTCAGGGCAAAGTCTGCTACTGTGGGCACATCATATTAAGTCATGCCACCTGGATCCAAGGAAAAGAATGGGAAGTCCATATGTACGCTTTTAAAGTCTGCAGCACTGACCTATGACCAGCCCTCCCAGGATCAAAGGAAGCCTCTACAGCCAGAGGTAACACCATACAAACACCCCTACTGGAGGCACAGGGCACACAGAACCCATCCCTCCTAGCTTGGATAGGATTATGCCTCCAGTGGGAGTGATTACACCTACCTCCCCCGTCAGAGTGTCATAACTATGGTTTCTACATACAAAATGGCTGCAACAGATACCACCACCACCTGGTACACTTTAAATCTAAGAACAGTGCAAAAACATCTGTGGAGACACAAATCTACATGTCTTGTCCTTCTAAAACCGATGGCTCAGTGTTCTGGTGCAAACAGATATTTGCTACAACAACACAAAACATTTTGATTTTGGAGTTCAGTTCTGAAAAAAATGGAAAAAAGGTAAACTATATCAAAGACACAGGCCCTTCCTCTTCCAATATGGCAAGCAGGTGAGATTGTTTTTTTGTTTTTTTTTTATGCTTTGCTCTGAATCACTGCAGTCCAGCCCGCTGGACATATTAAAGGGAAGAAAAAAAAAATTCATCTTTGGGGCCAGTTAATAGCATCCTTCTTTCCAAGAGTCGTCGTCATCCAGTGTGTTTGACTTTGAGGAAACCGATCTATAAAAAGGGACAAAAGACAGCAAACAATGTTGAGTCATAGGTGCAAAACATTAAGTCATTGGGGTTGATATTATTAAAGGCAAATAAGACTGTTCACTTTGAAAGTCCAGTTGCACTCACTTTCCCCAGAGCTTCATAAATGTGGTAAAGCTTCACTTTGTTTTTTACATTTTCCTTGCACCAGATTAGGTATTTACAAAGAAAAAGCAACACTGCATTTTTACATACTTGCGTACATATGTGTACGTTGGTTGTTTGAAGCCATAGTACGGCCCGGAAACAATAGTGCACATTTTTTTTTTTTTTTTTTAATCCTGCCACTAACTGACATTGATCAGATTAAAAAAAAATTTTTTTTTAAATTAGTGACGAAAAAAACAGAAAAAAAAAAAAAAAAAACACACAGGGTCGTTGGTTCGAATCCCAACTACGGCACCACCTGCGTGGAGTTTGCATGTTCACCCTGTGCCTGCGTAGGTTTCCTCTGGGTACTCTGATTTCCTCCTACACGCCAAAGACATGCTGGTAGGTTATTTGGATCCTGTCTAAATTGTCCCTGTATGTATGAATGTGAGTTAGGGACCTTAGATTGTACTCCCCTTGATGGTTAGGGACTGATGTGAATGTACAATATATATGTAAAGTGCTGCATAAATTGACAGCACTATATAAGTACCTGTAATAAATAAATGTATCTCTCTCCTCCATTCGGAGAGAGAGAAAACAAGGGGGGTGGGCTTCACAGTGACAGTTCAGTGATCAGAGACTCAGCAGTCATGTAACCTGGAATTGGGCGTTCCGGGTCCCGATCATTAGAACGGGACCCAGGGCTCTCAAAGACACTTCAGTCTTTGTGGTGGGAGCACGCCATGCGGCACGCTCCAAGGACAGACAGGTACGCAAATTAGCAGCCCCACGGAAAAAGCCCAGTCCAATGGGGCCGCTAATATGCATATGCTTGGCGCCAAGGGGTTAAACAATGCATTAAGCTACTAGTCTGAAAGTCTGCTGTAATACAATTAACAATTCCGTACGGTTTTTTTTTAGGCTGTATAGATTTTGGGCTGTGGCTGGTTGGAATTTGGTAAGACACTTGTTCAAGAGGATAGAAATGGTAATCAGGGGTTAGCAAGTGAAACGTAAATATTAGGCTGCAAATCCTAGCAAAATCCGGAGTTGGGAATGGTCAGATTCTTCAGGTGTCCAGTATCAGATGATGACCAATATAAGTCTAAAAAGGAATTTCCCAACACCTGGGGGTACACTGAAGCTGGACATATGTCCCTGAAGTGGACCACACCGGTACCTGGAGACAATGGTGCAAATACAAAAACAGTACTATCTTACCCAGTGTTTCTGAATCATTTGTCAGCCAAGGCACCCTTGCAAACAAACAAATCTCGAGGCTCCCCAAGGTACCCTTGCACAATCTCGAGGCACACCAATTTTAACATCTAAAACATGTGGATGTTGCAAGACACCCAATATGATTTATTATAAAGCAAATATACCTTTGACCAGCATTGCAATGTTCTCGCCCTCACTCCCACAAAATGCTGTTCAAGCCTCATTGGTTGTTAGGACGCCAGCAGCTGGAAGGTTCTAATTGTACACAATGATAACCTGTGACTCTGCGTAACTAAAAAGGCAGCTTTGATCCACCTTCTGGATTGTAACTATTCTTTGCCACGGCACCCCTGATGAAACCTGAAGACACCCCAGGGTGCCTGGGAACCTTTTTTGAAAAAGGCTGATCTAACCAATCCACCAACTAAAACCTAAAGAAGGCCTCCTTACAGAGCAAAGTCACAGGGTTCAGTTTAAATCAGAACTCCAGATTTCCCATCACTTAGAAATTATTTTTTTGCCCAAATAAACTATTCATTCTATGGCAGAAAGGTCTGGTCTGTGGGGATGCTGTAACAGACTATAGTAGCTTGTGCCACATACAGCAAGTGCTGTTGTCTTCCTGCATGGATACCAGCAACTTCTCCTCTTCTGCCGAAAGAGAATCGCTTATACAACATCCCAGCCATTCAGGTACAGGTTTTTTTTTTCCCTCTCTCAATAAATAAAAGGCGTTTTCTAGTTGGTTGAGCTGGAGAAGCTGGCAGGTGACATCATGACCACCACCTTGGCCAACCAAAGAATGTGTTTTATTTCATTGTAAACATACAAGGCTGATATGCCAAACACGCGACTCTCCTATTTGGCAGAAGAGGGGAAGTTGCAAGTACCCAAGCAGGAAGACACAGCTAACTGATTGCCACACAAGCTACAGCATTCTCAGTGGCCATACCATTCTGCCACGGAAAGAATGTGTTCAAACACAGGTGGCCCAAACAAAACTATTTAAAGTATAGGGAAAAACTGGCATTCTGCTTCAATTCCCACCTACCTAAGCAGCAAATATCAAACTTCTCGCTCCTGAAAAATGACAGCCATTATTAAGCTCAAGTCCGATCTCCAAGCAGAGCTTACACAGGGCTAATTGTTTATCTGTACCCATGTGACACAGCACCAGCAAATTACGAACAACTAACTTTGTCACATGCTCCTCCACACTTGAAGCAATGGGTATTTTCTTGGCTCCTGAAGGCTGAATGAAGCAGCAAATGAGTGCTATAAACAGGGTGGATAACAATCGATGATAAAAAATTTTTTTTTTTATTTTTATCAAATTTATTATAATAGAATGCTTTTGGAGTGAAAAATCTATCTAAAGATCGTTTTCTATTTAATATACATTAATAATTTAGTTTATTCAGCATGAAATGGAGCTTAGTTATGTAGCATGAGGCTGTATATTCTGCAATATTTACATTTTTTTTTTAAACTCATTCAATGAATCCAAGCTGAGATAACATGCACTGCATTGATGCATTCACATAAATTTCACAGTAACCATGAGAAAAAAACATGAAAAAAGAATTTGAGTAGTTCTCCAGCTATGTGTGATTAACCTATTAACCTAAAATAGGTTCTGATATCGATGTTTTACCATCCTGACAGCTTATCATTCTAAAAAGGAAACCTGCATTTGGTTTGCAAATATTAAAGATTCTAACTACCAACAAGAATGAGTCGGATTTCTTACATTTAAAGAGCACCTGTCATTTTAGATCCATCATGGCAGCACCTGTTAATGGTCATCCACTCTCCTGCTGCCGCCACGTCCCTCACCTTGTTGTGTCACTGCCACATCATCAGCCGTCCCATTAAAGTGAATGGGACTGTCGGTTAGTCAACAGTGGGTCAGAGGAGGAGCCGCTGCGGGACAGAGATGACAGTGGCTCTTAAAGAGTGGCTCTTTAAAAAAACTATGATTTAAAAATCGAGCCTTTTCACTAGTGATTTAAATCAAATCCCTCCTGGCTATTAAGCAATTCTATTTCAAGCTTTGCCCATGCATTTTGGGAGGGGAAAAAAAAAAAAAAACACACACCACAAACTTGCCTTTTAGACGGTTGCATCATCTTGCTTTTGGGAGTTGCACACCCTGCAGAGGACTGAGCTTTTCCACCTGAGTGCTTCATTGTGGGTGGAAAGTTTCCTGATCTAGAAACAGCACCAGGGATGGCTGGATTTAAGCCAGGTGAAGATTGCATTTTACGAAGACCACTTGTACTATTGTAACCAGATGATTTCATTGGCTGCTTGGAATTCAGGAGTGAACTTGTGCTTAAACCCGCTTTAACTGGCTGACGGAGAGCTGCTGGCTGGCCAGAGCTGTACCTCATTTTACCTGGGGGATTACCTGAAAAAGGAGAAACATACTATCAATACATATTGCAGGCTTCTAAACACTGTGCATTTTTGTTGTTCCAAAATAAGGGTTTATTTTTCTAGGGATATCAGACACATGAAACCTTTCTACTGGCAGTGCCTACACAGCTGATCTCAAGAGACTTGTATGGGGCCATCTCCCAAGAGATTGGGGTTTATAGAGATATACTGCACGGGTGTAACCAATGGTAAGAGATTTGGCTGCTGGATGTAAAGATTATGGCATAGCACAACACGATTCAGGTAAATTCAATCAGAGTGGAGAGGTAGCCAGAATAAGTGTACCTCAAATAAAAACAGTTATCTGTTAAACAAGCCTTTAGGAGTTTTTTTCCCAACTGGAAGTTGAGTAAAATAGATCTTCAGTCAAAAAGTAGTTTTGGATAAGAGTGTAAGAGTTAAAAGGGTAACAAAAAAAACTGACAAAGTTCCATGAACAGTAAGTATGGAAAAATCTTTCCAGTTGGGACAGACATCAGGACGTTAAAGTATTCCAGGATATACCCAACTAATCGTAAAAATGCTTCCTCCCCTCCTCCCAACACCTATGTTGACTAACCTGTGTAAGAAATGCTGTTCCTGCTCATCCATACAGATTTCATGCCTTATATTCTGCGTTACTGAGCCATGTATACTTTAATTGTACATTTTGATTGTGTTCTTTCACATTGGCCTTGGCACAACATGTACAGTTGTGTTCAAAATAATAGCAGTGTGTTGAAAAAAGTGAATAAAGCTCAAAATCCTTCTAATAGCTTTTATTTCCATACACACAAATGCATTGGGAACACTACACATTCTATTCCAAATCAAAAACATGAAGAAAAAATATATCAAATTTGTGTTGTTCCTCTAAAAGAATTGAAGAAAAGTGAATATTATTAGACTGTTCAAAAAAATAGCAGTGTTTGTATTCTTCTTTACAAACTCAAACATTCACTATATGAACTGAAAAATGTTTGAAGATTTTGCTTTCCTTTGAATCACCTAATGAATATTTCGTTGTATAAGCACTGTTTCTGAGAACTGCTGTACATCTGTGTTGCATGGAGTCAACCAACTTCTGGCACCTGTGAACAGGTATTCCAGCCCAGGATGATTGGACTACATTCCACAGTTCTTCTCTATTTCTTGGTTTTTGCCTCAGAAACTGCATTTTTTTGATGTCACCCCACAAGTTTTCTATTGGATTAAGATCCGGGGATTGGGCTGGCCACTCCATAATGTTAATCTCGTTGGTCTGGAACCAAGATGTTGCACGTTTACTGGTGTGTTTGAGGTCGTTGTCTTGTTGGAACACCCATTTCAAGGGCATTTCCTCTTCAGCATAAGGCAGCATGACCTCCTTCAAGTATTCTGATGTATTCAAACTGATCCATGATCCCTGGTATGCGATAAATAGGCCCAACACCGTAGTATGAGAAACATCCCCATATCATGATGCTTGCACAACCATGCTTCACTGTCTTCACAGTGTACTGTGGCTTGAATTCAGTGTTTGGGGGTTGTCTGACAAACTGTCTCCGGCCACTAGACCCAAAAAGAACAATCTTACTTTCATCAGTCCACAAAATGTTGCGCCATTTCTCTTTAGGCCAGTCAATGTGCTCTTTGGCAAATTGTAACCTCTTCAGCACGTCTTTTTTTCAACAGTGGGACTTTGCGGGGGCTTCTTGCAGATAGCTTGGCTTCACATAGTCATCTTCTAATTGTAACAGTACTCACAGGTAACTTTAGACCTTCTTTGATCTTCCTGGAGCTGATTGTTGGCTGAGTCCTTGCCATTTTGGCTATTCATCTATCCATTCGAATGGTAGTTTTTCGCTTTCTTCCACGTCTTTCAGGATTTGGTTGCCATTTTAAAGCATTTGTGATCATTTTAGCTGAGTAGCCTATCATTTTCTGCACTTCTTTATATGTTTTCCCCTCTCCAATCAACTGTTTAATCAAGGTACGCTGTTCTTCTGAACAATGTCTGGAACGACCCATTTTCCTCAGAATTTCAGAGAGAAATGCACTGTAACCAGCATGTACAACATTTGCTGCCTTCCTTCCTTAAATAAGGGCAATAATTGCCACCTGTTTTTCAAAGAATGAATGACCTCACTAATAGAACTCCACACTGCTATTATTTTGAACATGCCCCTTTCAATTAGTGATTCAGTTACACAGAATCAGCAGCATGCATGTCATGACTGTTGGGTCTGTTGGATTTCTATTACTCTACTACACCTGCTAGCAAATTATTTGCTATGTAGAAATATCATTTCTACCAAAAACAGTGATTGATCAGGTTAGTGATGTCTGACTGCTATTATTTTGAACACAACTGTATGTATTTTTTTTTCTTTTATGATACTTCTAATAAAAAAAAAAAAAAAAAATATTTCTAACCTGTGTAAGAAAGATCTGTATGCATACCAATTTTCCAGCCACTCCAGTCCAGTCATATGATCTGGCTCCCCTGTGTCAGCCAGCTGGTAGTTGCAGGAGAGGAGTGCCAACAATGGGTTGGCCATAGTAAGCCTATAGGAGATGTCACCGTTCTCAGGCTTTGGCCAGCCATTGTCTACTGCTCTCTCCTTGCCCCTGCAGCAAGTGCTGGCTCACACAGGGGAGATCACATGACCAGACCGAAGCAGGCTGAGAATAGGCAAGTATACAGATCTTTCTAACGCAGGTTAGCGAGAAGATCTGGGTATATCTGAGCATTCTACTTTAAAATATAGCCCCAACCTATTTTTTTTTTATACGATTTGGAAAAAAAGGTTGAAAAATTAAAACCCCTTCTATAATTTTTTTTGCTGTCCTTGTCCCCACTGAGGGGATTTACGCTCTGTCTTTCCTGTAGACAAATTTTCACCAAGACAAAAAGTAATGGGGAATCCAAAAATTTCACCAAAGCAAGCTTGAAATAAAACGTTTAAAAGATAAGCTCACCTTCGGTAACAGGCTTCCTTCTCAGGGTGGAATATGTAAACAGCTGACGGCTTGTAGTTCTCAATGAACCACCAGATAAGCTACCCTGTCAGATATAGATATATATATATATATATATATACACATATATATATATATATATATATACACATATACACATACACACATATTTATACATATATATACACACACACACACACACACATATACATACATACACACACACACACACACACACACACACACATACACACACACACACACACACACATATACACACACACACACACACACACACACACACACACACACACACACACATCTAATAGTGGATGAAGCGCTCAGCCGTAAGGGTAACAAACTGATTAAACTAAATAAATAAAAATAAATACATAATAAATTATATATATAATATATAATAAAGTGACCAGTGCTCCAAATAAATGTGCAAACAAAAATTTATATATAAACAAATATTCAATACATAAATATTTATAAAGTGAAGGTGACTGGTGCTTCAAATCAATGTGTAAAACAAACGACCAGTCTGCCACCCAGTGGCTTAAAACTGGTACTAAATATACACACACTAAGTGTATAAAAAGTGACAAGTGCCCAGAAAACTAATACATATATATATATATATATATATATATATATATATATATAGATAATAGATACACCTACCTAAAGTGACAAGTGAAAAAAAGAATACAAAATAAGTCCACACTAAAGTGCAACAATCGTGCTATCACTCTTATAATGTGAAGCTGAATAAATGCTTTTCCACTTCAAAATCTTGTGCTCAAAAACAAGGAGTGACACTCTCGTGCATATATCCTCCAGTAGCTAAAGTGCCTCCTCCTCACCTCCTTTATTCGACCCCTAGGGGCCACAAATCATGTAATCCAATATTCCACCCCGATTCACTTCTGATACTATAGATATTTTCACAACACCTTATCTATCCTTCCGATATCCACTCCAAATGTGTTGGGCATAGAGAGACTCAGCATAATAGTACCAGGGTCGTAGAGGAGTAAGCAAAAAGAATACTTCCATAGTGTAGTATGTCCAATATGTTTAATCAGAGAAATGCCAAAACATGGTCCAAATGTACAGCCCGCGGTTTCCCATATGTTATGGGTGTACTAGGGCACTCAAGATGGCGAAAAAACCGGAAGTCCATCACCGGAACTGCGTCACCGAGCTCCACCCGGAAATGACGTCACTGCGCTCTACGCGTTACGCCCCAAACACGTGGCTTCTTCAGGATTTTGCTTCCCAACCGCAGGTACCGCGATTTGATCCTGAAGGATCAATCATCCGATTTAGGCCAGTGATATGGTCGGCCTAAGTCGGATGATCGATCCCTGTCCTATCAGGGATCTTCCTGCAGCTGTGTTTACACTTACACAGGTACAGGAAATGACGACATCTCTCTCTTGGCACATTCCCTCCCAGAGAGAGAATGAAGACACAGTGAGTAAAAGCAGCACACTTTTACAGTTAGAACACTTTAGGACATATTAACCCCTTAATCGACAACCCCCCGTTAACCCCTTCACTACCCTGTCCCAGTGTCATTAGTACAGTGTACAGATTTCTTGCTGATCACTATTAGTGCCGCCAGCGGCTTCAGACCGTGTTAGCATCAGTTAGTGCCCCTCCCAGATAGCGTCAGATTGCCCGTCAGTACACCAGTAATCACATTTAACCCCTTGATTGCCAGGAACATGTCCACATACACAATAAACCTCCATTGCCAGTATAGTGTCTGAACGGATCAATATTTTTGATCAAATCAGCACTATACCAGCGTTCACGTTAGTATAGTGTCCCCAAAAACGCAGTTTTAATGGGATCAGCCCCGGCACCTGCCAGCGCCTGCATGTAGGCCTGCTTACCCCCCACCCTTCTCCCCCAGAAAGTGCAGTGTCAGCAGGTCACGGTCACTTGAGACATTGCACAAACCGCAGTGTTCGCAGAATCAGGCCTGATCTCTGTTAGCACTTGCCGGTACATTTTTTT